GGTTCAGGGGTTTAGTTCAGGATCCCCCTGTCATCTACCCTAAAGGGCATCAGGATAACCATGTTCCATATTTCTGGCTTTTGCTTGAAACCCTACACCAAGCCAACCCCAGATTTCTGAGCCCTGAGCCCTAAACATTCAACCCTACCTGGGGATCCAAAAGCCTACTGTTTTAAGGGCTCTACCCGCTAATTAAGAGGTCATAGCCTACTATTCTGTAGGGTTTGGGGTCACAGGTGAACATCCCTAAACCTTGAGCCGACATGCCCTAAGCCCTAGGAAAGGTCATACATAAACCGAAACCCTTGAACCCTAGACCCTAAACCCAAACCCCTGAATCCTGAACCCTGAACCCTAAAACCCAAACCCTAAACCCCTAAATAAACCACTAAAGCCCTATAAACCCCTTCATGTATCCCTTACCGGGAGCCTTAAAGAACCCTTTATAGATCCCTTAAAGAACACATAGAACCCTTAACCGCAAAACACTAGTACCCAAGAGTTCCAGGCAACCATAGTTTATAGGGTTTAGGATTTAGGGTTTTGGTTTAGTGCTTAGCCCTGAACCCTAAACCCTAAACCCTAAACAACCCTTAATTTGGGGTTTAGGGTTTAGGTCCAGGCAACCACAGTTCCCAACGGCGTTGAGGTGTGGCAGTGGGGCCATCTTCGCCACGTAGTCGGCAAAGGGAGGTTCCCGGAGAAGGCACTCCTTAAGCTCGGGCTCCCCATGGGGCTTTAGGGGGTTTTTAAAGGATTTTCAGAGGATTTGTAGGGATTTTTGGGGTTTAGGGTTTAGAGTTGAGGGTTGAGGAAGCTCTGTGGCTTTAGGGGTAAGCTAGTAGGCAAGTGCGAATGCGTTTGTGCCACAGTTTCGCGTCTATAGATGTTCAGGCTTCAAGGTATTGAAGCGTAGATGCTTTATGCCGCCTGAAAAGTCCAGGGGCAAGTGCATCAGGGAAGCACGTCTAAAACCGGAGCCTTAAACCCTAAACCCCGAACCCTAAGCGTATCATAAGACGATTTGAACCCCAAAGAACTAACTGGAAAAAACGAACTGTAAGCGCAGGCGAAGCGAATCCTTTCAGGGTTTACAAACAAACAGGTATAGGGTTGAGGGTAGTTATAGGTTGAGCGTGTTTAGGCTTTCAAAAATCCTATCTACGCTATAAGCTCTGCACGCTGAGCGTGACGAATCCTGGCACCGCCGAGCTGCGACGACGAGTTGGAGGCCAACTGGAGACTGCCAAACAGATTGCCTAGAGCGAGAGATACACCATAAACCCTAAACCCTAAGCGCCAAACCC